AAGTTCTGCTCCTAGAGGTGTTGTTTCTTTGGGAACGGCTAAGGGTGGTATTCTTAATGAGGAGATGAGAAGGAAGTCACATGATTCTTCATCTTAACCCGAGGTACTTGTCACTGAAAATAGGGGGAGAAGTCATAAAAAGGAACCAAAGGGTGGTGGAGAGAATAGTATAAGTAAGTTTAAGCCGCGATGCAAGAATATGGAGTGTCATTATTATCATAAAACATGACACATACAAAAGTATTGCTATCACTGGAAAAGACATAACAAAGGCAAGAAGGATAAGTCTAAACAAAGAGACCATGAATATAATGATGATGGTCGTGTTACTACTGTTACTAGTGATGATCTTGTTATTCTTCGTGATCATAAGTCTGTTAACCGTGTATCAAATGAGAGCATGTGAATAGTTAACAGTGGTGCTACATTACATATTACACCAAGGAAGGATTTCTTCACATTTTATACTTTTGGTAATTTTGGAGTGTTGAAGATGGGTAATAATGGTGTATAAGGTAATTGGTTTTGGTGATATTTGCTTGCAAACAAACATGGGAATGCAATTGTTGCTTAGAGGTGTCAAACATGCTCCAGATGTCCGCTTTAATTTGATCTCTATGCATATGCTAGATGATTGTGGTTATGAAAATCACTTTCATTCTGGAAAGTAGAAACTCAACAAAGGTAACTTGGTTGTGGCTATAGGGGAAAAGCGTTCTAAATTGTATTGGACAAAAGCTTTGGTTGCTAGGGATAGTGTGAATGCTATTGACATGGAATCATCTTTGTGGCACCTAATACTTAGCCATATTAGTGAAAAGGGGCAGAATGTTTTGGGAAAAAAGGAAGTTCTTCATAGATTAAGAATGTATATTTGAATAAGTGTTCTCATTGCATGGTTGGTAAATAGACTATAGTATCTTTCAAGAGACACCCCCCTCAAGGAAGTCAAAGTTTCTTCAATTGGTGCATTTAGGTGTTTATGGTCCATTAAAGGTCAAATCTGTTAGTTCAAAGAAACTATGGGTTTATGCCTTGAAGACCAAAGACCAAGTGTTGGAAAAGTTCAAAGAATTTCATGCTTTGGTTGAGAGGCAGACATGCAAGAAGGTGAAATGTGTTCATTCAGATAATGGTGGAGAGTATTGTGGACCATTTGATTCCTATTGCAAGCAGCATTGCACATGAAAAGACTCCTCCTAAAACTCCTCAATTGAATGATTTAGCAAAGAGGATGAATAAAACACTAATTGAGAAAGTAAGGTGTATGCTCTCTGAATCTAAGTTGGATCATTATTATTGAGGCGAGCCACTTTACACTACAATTCATGTTCTTAATCTCACTCCTACTGTTGCTTTGAACAATGAAGTTCTAGACAAAATTTGGTTTGGAAAGAATGTCAAGCATGATTATTTTAGACTCTTTGGTTGTAAGGCTTTTGTGCACATTCCAAAGGATGAAAGATCCAAGTTGGATGCAAAGTCAAAACAATGTATCTTCATTGGTTATGGTAAATATGAGTTTGGTTACATGTTTTATGATTTTGTATGGAAAAAGCATATTCGAAGCCGCGATGTGGTGTTTATGGAAGACTAAACTATTGAAGAAATTGATAAGGTAGAGAAGGATACACCTAAGAAAGATATCAGTTTGTCTAATGTTGATCTAGTTTGGTTACTTAGTCATAATTCAGATGTTATTGATGGTGATGTGATGATCATAATGGTGAGCCATATGATTATGTTGATGATCAATAACTTGGATATGAGGTAAATATTCCAACTAATGATGGTGAAGGGGAGAGAGATATGCCATAGGATGAGAATCTTGGTGAAGCTCTAGAATCATCTCAAGTTTAACTTAGGATGTTTAACAGGCATAAAAAAAACCTCCTACAAGGTATAATTATGATGAGTATGTGACCTTGACTAATGAGGGTGAACCCATGTGTTTTCAAGAGGCCATGGGAAGTGATGAAATCAGAAGTGGATGGATGATATGCATGATGAGATGAAATCATTACATGATAATCACACTTACGATTTAGTGAAGCTGCCTAAAGGAAAAAGGGCTTTCGAAAACAGATGGATTTATAGAGTTAAAGATGAGAGTTACTCTAAGTCTCCAAGATATAAAGCCAGATTAGTTGTGAAAGGTTTCCATCAAAGAAATGGTGTTGATTTTAATGATATTTTCTCACCTGTTGTAAAGATTTCATGAATTAGAACCGTGTTGATTTTGGCTACTACTCTTGATTAGAGGTTGAGCAAATGGATGTGAAAATGAACTTCCTTCATGTTGATTTGGAGGAAGAGATCTGCATAAAATAACCCAATGGTTTTCAAGTTAACGATAAAGAAGATCATGTGTGTAGATTGAGAAAAAGTTTATATGGGTTGAAGCAAGCTCCAAGGCAGTGGTACAAGAAGTTTGAGTTTGTTATGTGTGATCACGGATACCAAAAGACTATTTCAGATCATTGCATCTTTGTTAGAAAACTTTCTAATGATAACTTCATTATCCTGTTGTTATATGTTGATTATATGCTTATTATATGAAAAATTATTTCTAACATTAATAGGTTAAAGAAGCAATTGGGAGAGTCAGTTGCCATGAAAGACATGGGAGCAGCTAATCAGATTCTTGACATTATTATCATGCGTGACAAAAAAGAGAAGAAACTTTGGGTGTCACAAGAACATTATATTGAAAGAGTGCTACAAAGATTCAAAATGGAAATTTCTAAGGAGGTAAACATTCCTCTCATTACTCACTTTAAGTTGAGTTCTAATCAAAGTTCTTCAAGTAAAGATGAAGCGTTTGATATGAGACATGTTCCTTATGCGTCTAATGTTGGTAGTTTAATGTGTGTAATGGTGTGTACAAGACCAAATATAGCACATGTTGTTGGTAGAGTTAGTAGATTTTTGTCAAATCCAGGTAGAGAGCATTGAAATGCTGTAAAATGGATTTTAAGGCATCTTCGCGGTACTACTTCTGTGAGGCTTTGTTTTGGAGGAGAAAATCCTACTCTAGTGGGGAACTTTGACTCTAATATGGATGCAAACGTTGATTCCAGAAAGTCAACTTCAGGTTACATGATTAAATTTGCAGGGGGAGTTGTGGCTTGGCAGTCCAGATTGCAAAAGTGTGTAGCACGGTCTACTACAGAGGTTAAGCTCATTCCAATTACTGAAGCATGCAAAGAGTTACTATGGTTGAATAAATTTTTGCAGGAGCTTGGTTTTGTTCAAATACATTGGTTCTGATATGATGATGTTTCTGATATTCAAAGCGCTATTCATCTTGGTAAGAATTTGACTTTTGATAATATGTCCAAATACATTGATGTGAGATATCATTGAATACATGATGTTTTGGATGCTAAGTTGTTGGAGTTAATTAGCTAAAGGTTATAAAAATGACAATGGTTCTGATATGATGACTAAAACATTGCCAAGAGGGAAATTTGAAGCTTATTGTGATACCGCCGGTTTGGCGATTTCCTCCACATAGTTATAAGGGGGAGATTTGTTGGGTTTGAGTTCTCTTCCTATGTAGAGAAAAACCCAAATATGATTAGCCCACTTGTCTCACTTATTTAAGTGGAGAGAATCAATGTAGGGTTGAGAGAGATAGAGAGAAAAATAAGGATTCAAAAGAGAGAAAAGAGAAGAGAAACTTATTTATGTTTTTCTGCAATCACTCTTACTAAATTGACGATTTCCGATTAGTTAACTGTCAGATCAAGCTCAAATTTGGAGGGCAGGTTCATAACACGTGTATCTAACTTTTGACCGTTCAGAATTTCAAAATAACGTCTGAGGTGAGAGTTATATGCTTCGCACTGAAGCTGCAGATTTGAGAAAAAATTTCAGTTTTTTTATTCTTATTTGTAAGCTAGTTTGCTTTGTGATTTGCGGTTGTTACTAGTTTGTGAATCACTTTAAGACTCACTTGTATCTTTAATTGATTATACTGGAGTTATTTCTTTGGTTTGGATAACTCATGAGTTTTACTCTCATATTGAAGAATTTTCTATGTTAAAAATATCGGTGTTCTTTTGTATCTTTATTTGTTCAATTTATCGTCTTATATTTATCGTTGATCCTCAAAGTTTCTACAATTCTTGAAAAAAATTTATTCTTAATATATTGGTCATCTGATATTATATCTTAATTTTCCATCATCTAGTTGTGTTTGATTTACTGAAATCAATTTCACCTTTCATGGCATCCACACATTTTTGTTGAATTAAAAGTGTTTTGCATTTTATTTTTTATAATCCAAAGTCACTGTCTTCTTGATGTCCCATTTAGAATTCATAGTGCTTACTTGACAAATTTGATCCATAACGCAAGTGGGTGCCACTTATTGGTGGATAATTAGAAAAAACCACTTTGTTCAAGCTAACAAAGAACAATAATGTGTGGAGCAAGTAGTAGTTGCAACCAAATAGTAAACATCTTCAAGTAATAATAACAACCCCTTGTACATAGCAAACACACAATAACCAAAGACCAAGATAACGGATCCAGAGGAACAAAGCACACTAATATTTGTAAATCTAGTTCAATCTAGATTGATCTAGAATGAGTGAGCAACTCTTTGATCCACCATGAAAAAGTTGTCAAAAGAGTTACAAAGAATTTCCAACAAAATAGACAATGCTCTTTTCACTCAAATCCACTAGACTGTTACAGCTTACAACCTTAAGAGATAAGCTATCTACAATATTTAACATTCAACAAACTTAAATTTCACCAATAAAAACCAGAAACAATTGTAAAACCTAGTACCATATCCACTTTAATCTCCAATGCAGTTTCATTCACATACAATGCAGCCATTCTAAAACACTATCAATAATAATAAAAGCTACATAAAACCTCCTATTAACTAATTCCAACATATGGAATATTGTTGTTAAACATGCCTTAATTAATATCTGTTTCTATTTCAATCTGAGAGCACACATATACAGATACATGCTTTCTTATCAGTCTATTATAATAACAACAGCAGCAGCAGCAGGAGGAGCACTTTTTCTTGGTCTTCTTCCCTTGTTTCTCTTAATCTCCATTGTTTCCACAGCTTCCTCTTTTTCTTTTTTGACACATACTCTCTGAGCAGCAAGAGCTTTTCTTGGTTCATCATTCCTTTTCCTAGCCACAACTGTCTCTGGAGCTTCTTTTTCTTTTTCTTTCTTGGCACATACTGTCTCAGCAGCAGGATTTTTTCTTGGTCTACCTCTCTTTCTCTTGACCACAATAGGAGCTTCTGCAGCAACTTTTTCCTCTTTCTTGAAGCTTGGTCTACCCCTCTTTCTCTTCACCACAGTTGGAGCTTCTGCAGCAACTTCTTCTTTCTTGAAGCTTGGTCTCTCTAATCCATTCCTACCAAAAAATTTCACATGGAACATGTTCTCTCCATTATATGTGAAAACCAGGAACTCTTCATTCACCACTGAGTTGTCTTTCATGAACTGTTCCCAACCAGTGTTTTGCAGATACATGTCGTTTCCTTTCTTCAAAATACTCACTTGCCACTTCTCACCAGAGGAACCTATCAGAATAATTAATTCCTTGTTCCACAACTCTTCACCCAAATTCATAACAATCTTTTGTGGAACTTTCTGCAGATTATGGCAACCAAAAAAAAAACATGGTAGCTCACAAGAAGTAATGTTTGAAAGAAAAAAAAAGTACATATATGAAACCAGATCCCCTTCCGTCACTGACCGCACATATTAACGCTGTCCGGGATCCATGACAGCCAGATCGAGATGGGATAAACAGATCTGAACCGTCTGGATCCTCGAAATCCTAGAAACTAACATCACAAATTCACAATTAACTTACCATCATTTGTCTATTAATAAAAATCTCACCTTTCATATTTATTAGCAAAAATAACCGATTGTAGCATGCATGAGATGATTATGGAGAGAAGTATAAAAAAAAAGATAGAAAGGAATTACCAGTTGGTTGAAATTTTCTTTGATGATAGCAAAGAAGGATGGTTTGTCTTGCTGATCATGATTCATCTGTAAATGAGTAGCATCAAAAGTTATAATCATGAAACAAAAAATGAGAAACTAAAGCAAGGTAGAAAGTAATTAGTTTGAAAAACCTTGAAAACGTAAAAACGTAAATAAGAACACAGGAAGCAACTACAGGAAGCAAAAACGTAAATAAGTGAATCCTGAAATCAAAGGACCACTTGCTTTGAGGCTGAAAATGGTAATTAAGTAGCAGATAAGAGTTAAGAACTTGTGTGCTTAAAGTGGGAATGTATTATTAATTATATTACTGCAACTGCTTAAAATGGTTGCCATGAAAGCCATGCACAATAATAGTAATGGTTACGTATATGGTATAGTAGCTAGCTGCTACTACTGTTTCAAGTTTCAATTTTATTTCAAACCCTTAATCCTTTTTAGAAGTTAAAAGTAAAACAACTCGTCGCTTTCCATCGGTTCATTATACTCTGAAGTCTGAATCAATAATATATATATATATATATATATATATATATATATATATATATATATATATATATATATATATATATATATATATATATATATATATATATATATATATATATATATATTTCAACCCATTGTTCATAAAATCTACTAATACTACTATTAATTACTAAGGCGTTTTGGGATGACTTTCATGTTAATATTTTTAAAAGTTGTTTTATATAGAGATTAATAAGAATCCCAGAGAATTTAATTTGTCAACCCATGTCCGAATATCCATACTCCATAGTTTTAAATTTTCAAAACTGTTTTAGACAAAATATTGAATCAAATTTCGGTGTAAAATTTTCGATAGACAAATCAGAATTTCTGATACAAACTAAATTTATGATAGTGTATTTTAAATTTTCGGTATATCGGAATTTATGAAATTTTTATGAAGTTACAAATAATATCTTAAATTATAAAATTACCATTTTATATTAGAAATTTTAACCAAAGTGAAATTTCTGATAGTGTTATTTGTTTGAAATTTTAAACGTTCAAGATTTTACTAAAAGTTTTGGACGATTGTCATTGCATTGACAGTTTTGTGTGGACCAAAGTAAATGGAAAGTTGTATAAATAGGAGGGGTCACCTGTTGTCTGATAAAAACATCTCAAAAAATGTTTATTCCTCAATTTTTGATAAACAGATCTAATCGCTCGACATCGGGTGCTACGGGGTGCGCGAAACTACCCCTACTCAGGCAACCGTTTTCGGTGTGAACCGATTGGAATCACTCGTCCAGCTCGTATCTAGGAAGACTCAGCCTCAACAACCCTAACCTGGTCTGTCGCTCTATCTTTCGCTCTGCTGGCAATAGTGAAGTCTATGTCCCTGTATTTCACTGCAAAAGGCGGAAAAAATAAAAAAGATTAATAATTATCAAAAATTTCACTAAATTTAAAAATTTTCTAATTTTTCAAGAAATTATGAAATTTTCGGTAAAAAAACAAAGTTCTTATAACTATCGAAAATTCTGAAATTTTCGGGACTTTGCAGGTGATTTTGGATCGCAAATTTTGAAATTTCCAGTAAAAATGTTTTCATTATTATAAAATTTTTTGAAATTTATGGTAACAAATCACGCAAATTTCATAATTTTCGGTAAAAAAAACATAGTATTTTTTTAAATTTCTAGTAGACCAATCGAAATTTCCAGTATCGGTCCAGAGAATTCAAATTCGCGCGTGTGAGAGGTGAATTTCGAAAAATGAGTAAAAAACTGTTGCATGGGGCAGTATTATCTATTCATACGAAATTGGGGGTGCCAAGTTCAAGTGGGGGGAGAGGTGCCAAGTTCAAGTGGGGGGAGAGGTGCCAAGTTCAATCCTTTGAACTCTGCCTTTAAGGACTATGCGGACGACTTCCTAAACGATAATAATGAAACCCTCCAACTTAAGTATCTTGGTTTGTTGTTAAGGACAAATCTACGACATGAAACTATTTGGGACCCCTTAGTTAGTTTTCTAACCAAGCGACACCACTCTTGGAAGCATATATATGTAAGTTTTGGTGGTCGAGTGGTTTTACTTAATTCTATGTTTAATGTTGTCCCCGTCTTCCATTTATTTATTTTTTAAGATACTTGTGAAGGTTTGGAAGAAGATAGTAAGGATTCAAAGATGGTTTTTACGCGAAGGAGTGAAGGGAAATGCATCTCATGCATCAAGTGGGAGATTGTGTGCAAACTTAAGAGTAAGGGGGAGGGGGTTAGGGGTTAGGGATGTCCGCTTGGTCAATTTTAGCCTTGTTGGCTAAATGGAGATGGAGATTGATTACATGTGCTTCTGGTCATTGGTGTGATATTATTAGAGGTAGATATTGTGCTTCAGCCGTGTTTTCTCTTAGAGGTGGGGGATCTCTGGCTTCTAATCAATTTCTACTTGGTGAAAAGGTGTTTCTCTTTTTGGGCCCCAAGAGGAAGACCCCCTGATTGAATTGTTGATGGCATCTTAAAGAAAGTTGGACTAGGTCTCCAATTGTTTTGGGAGAATCTCTGGATTTAACCCATCTGAAATGTTGGCATACCAGATCACAGATGTCCTACAACATGTCACGACATTGTTCTCTACATAATGTTAAAAACAAGGGAAGAATAATCAAGTTGATACTCTGAATATCAGCAACAGAAGCACAACAAATGTTTCGACATCTGTTACAACATGTTAATCAAAAGGCAAACACTGAACTGTAAATTTGTAGAATGATAAATAACACAAGATATGTTAACCCAGTTCGGTGCAAATCACCTACATCTAAGAGCTACCAAGCCAGGAAGAAGAATTCACTATCAGTAGTATAGTTTTATGTAAACAACCTCTAGTTTACCTATCACTACCCAATAAAAACTTTATCATTAGAAGTCACATCTAATTGATAAGAGAAACTCATCTTACTCCCTTAATCACAGCCTATGATATCTAACAGTTACAATCAACAGCAACTGTATCATCCTACTTGAAAGACTCTTTCAATACAAAGCTCAGCCAAGCAACCTTGACTAACAATCCTACTCGAATTCTATTGGATTTGCTTCAATGCTTCATCCAAGAACAATACACGATTTATTACCTACAGGTTTTTGAATCTGTAAAGCTATGTGTACCACAATATATCAAACCGATATAAAGGGAAAGTTACAACACAAGAATGCCTACGACTCTCAAAATCCTAAACCCTTATTTCCCTTTACAAAAGAGTTAAAAGAGGTTCGTTCTACAGTCCTAGGTCTAGATCTTCCTTTTATAGTTTTCTGCTTCCTTGGGCCTCAAATATTCTTTCCTTGATATACGGCTAAATGGGCTTGAATCTTGGAACATATTTAAAAACAAAACCTGCTGAGTCAATCCAGGATGTCGAGTCTTCATGCTGGGACATCTCATTTGACATCTTCGGTCTGAGGCAGATTTCTTCAAAGTAAACATCTTGTCAACATTATGTTTTACCAAAATTTAGTCAAATCCTTGGAGCTTTCAATCTCCCCCTTTTGACAAATTTTGGCTAAAACATTCTTCAGATTGATGGTGCATGCAGTAGGAAATTCTGAAGTTGGTGTCGAGGGAGAAAATAATTTCTAGGATGGAAAAGATAATCTCTAGACATACACTTTTCTCACCCCATGATACAGAGTACACAGAACATGTAACTTTGATCACAAAACACAACTTCCTTTAAAACTATGATCACAAAACACAAGCTCCCAGAATGTTAGAACGTCCTTTGAGACATGTTTGCACAACACCAACAACAATAATGCGAACACGACAGTAGCCCATTCTCCCCCTTTTTAGCCCAAAGTTGGAAAAGATGACCAATACAGACCCACACCCAGACTGTACTCACCCAAACACGGATAAATCCCATTAACGCTCAACTCAATCAAGGAAGATGTCCTGAAACTCAAGTAACAACACCCCTTTTAAATACTGATGAACCTATATAAGAAGTGACGATTTGTTGAAAGAAACAAATTACTAGTCAATGAATGCAATATTGACCACTAACCAAGTTAGTTTTGAGATTCATTCAAAATAATTTGGACTTTGCTATTGAGAGAGGTAGTTCTGAAAAGAGATCATGTGTAATCAAAAGCACGCCTTTCTGACATGTACAAGAAACCATCGTCCCTTTAATTGTCTTTAGCAAAAACAAACTTTGAACAGTGTCCTGATTCCCTATTAGACATTGTCAGTTTTCTCAATGATGAACCAAAGATCTTCTTCTACATTGACCAAGACCCCACAGACAGAACAGGTTTAAGAGAAAATCACAATCTTCTATATTTACTCCTTAATCTAGAATTAGTAGACTTGATCACGACATCTTCAGCATATCAACAAAATGCTTCTATTGATCTTTCAATCTGCAGAGAAAAATAAATTTTCCTAGATAAGAACAAGGATTCTTAGAACACTTCCCAAGAAGCTTGTACAATTCTAATTCAATTCATTGACAACTCAATGATATAACCAAGTCTAAACCATCAAGTCCACCATGAACTCCACCAGTAACACAATGGCACAACATCTTGTTTGACATTACACCCTCACTAGAGGAACATAATCACAGACTGCTTGAAACCACAAACAATCTTGATAAACGATTGCACTACTCAGCAACAAATCCTAGACAGAAGTATAACTCCCCATATCAAGGATAACCAGTGCTCCTTTCCCAGAAGAACACCTTAACATGAATGGAAAACATAAGACTCATCTTCATGTCTTCAAGAGCTCACTCCTTGTTCAACATACTAGCTGAACGTATTCACTTGCTGCTTGATCCACAAGCAATATGTGTACCACAACAATACACATATCAGACAGAAGTTCTTCCCCTATCTTCCATAATTAATGCTTTTTCAAAAGAAAACAACACATGATATCTTATGACCAACTTCATGCTCATATAGTGAGAAGGTACCAATATTACCATCCTTGTACCATAGCCAACAAACTCTTGGACTGAGACCAAAATCACCATTGATCCCTCTCTCACCATGAACCCATCC